TTGGGATAGGAAAGAGGGTAGCTTTCTTACGTAGGCCCCTGTGGAACATTTAGAATTCTCCTGCAGTTCACTCTAGCTCACCCACTTGGCCATCTGGTACAGAGAAGGATAGGCCAGAGAACAGCAAAGATCAAGAGGGACCTGTCTCTCAGCCCCAAGGTGTTACAGCCAACTTGGTGTCTTTGAACAGCCATCTCCTCACATGAGTGACTTCAGAGGAGGTGGGAGTCCTGCCCAGCGGGTGGGGGCCTCTGAGCCTCCAGTATCAGTTCTCACACGTGTCTTGGTTCCAGACTCCACAAAAATCATCATCTGTTTCAGGGCCAGAAAGGCCTGGATCCTGCCCACAGTTGTCTCCAGGGAGCTTTGGGCTGTGTGTTGAAAGTTGCTCAGAAGATGAATCGTGTCCTCAGGGAATGAAGTGCTGCAGCAATGGGTGTGGGCACACCTGCCAGCGTCCTGTCCCCCGCAGTGAGTATAACCCCGTCAATGGCTGCGCCAGGTCCCAGGCAGGCGGCTCACTGGTCTGCCCGCTGCCCACGGAATCTGCACAACTCCGAGGGAAAGGGGCTGGAAGCGAACAGCAGGGCCTGGCCTCCTCTCCTGGTGGGGAACCCTGTCCCAGAATGGCCCTGAAGGGCTCGACTGTACATTTGATTTCTCTGGACGTTTCTGTATTCTTTGAAGTATTTGCTGCAAGAGTTCATTCATGTGTTCGTTGTATAAAAATGGACTTCAGAAGATTGTTAACTGAGTAATGATAGACAGTCATGTCTGGGCCACCATAAGAGAGAGATTAGGGAGTCCCGCTCTTGCTAGCCCTCTGGAGGGTTCTCCTGCAAGTTCTTTGGGGCTCTGGAGCCGTGGCTCCACTCACGCCTGAGGTGATACCCCCAGGAGCCGGGGATCCAGGTAGGCACCTTGGCTTGGGATTGGGGCTTACTCTTTGCTCTCCTCTGCCCTGCTGGAGCCAGTGGCCCCGCCCTGTATATCCAGGTACCTGTCCCTCCTTCAGAATGATGAGTCGTTCTGGGTGTTCCTTCTCCCTAGGACTTTGAGATGCTGCATGTGAGCTGAGTCCCCCTCTCCTGGCTTGCTTAGTATTTCTCTGCTCTACTCAGGTAGCTGATCCAAGCCTCCCCACAGTGGTCACGAGGTGCTTGTCCCACGTCTGACCTCCAAGATCAAATCAGGCTTCTTCCTCACTCCCACGGTCACCAGCATCTTGCCTCTATACTTATTTTCTGAGATTCTGAAGTTGGGATAGGAAAGAGGGTAGCTTTCTTACGTAGGCCCCTGTGGAACATTTAGAATTCTCCTGCAGTTCACTCTAGCTCACCCACTTGGCCATCTTGGTGCAGGGAAGGGTAGGCCAGAGGAAACCTGTCTTAGCCCCAAGGCGTCACAGCCAACTTGGTGTCTTTGAACAGCCATCTCCTCACATGAGTGACTTCACTTCCTGCTGACTACTCATCACAGACCACACTTGATCCCTACCCTTGTGGTCAGGGGACCCACACTCAACACCTGCTGAGGGATTGGAACCCTGGGGTGCTGATCGTGCTGGCAGTGCACCAGCACCATGTCCCCCAGAGACAGACGCAGATGTCCAGCCCTCCTGTGACCTGCCCAGGAGGCCTGGCAAACAACACCTGCTTGGTAACTGAAACTTTCATTCTCAAGTTACATAGAGTTCTTTTCTTTGGCTTTAGTGCCTAGAGCACAAGGAAACAGAGTTGAGTTGCAAGGGAACAACAAGCAAAGGGTTAAGAAAGCGTGTGTGAGCTCACTTCTCTGGCACTCCTGACTCTGGGACCCCAGACCCTAATTTGAGACTGGCCAGTTGTGAAAGAGGAAAGAGGAACAGGTTCATGTGGGAGCACGCCTTGCAGTAGTCACCTGCTCCCACTCTTTCTGCCCCACTGCCTTCCGCCCCACCCTCCTTCTGGTGACACCAAGAGTATAAATTGGAGCTGGTCTGGGTGCACACCATGACCAAGGCCACCATGAAGGTGGGCGTGCTGTTCGTTCTGGTGGCTTTCACTGCTGTGGGGCTGGAGATGGCTTGTGCTCAGAGACCTTCTGTCCTAGGTGAGGGTGCCAAGGGGGTCCCTAGGACTAGAGAAGGCTCAGAGCCTGGCATCAGACCAGGGTGAGGGGTTGGCACAGAGCAGGGTGTGTGTGCACTGCAGAGTGTAATCAGCATCGATCAGACCCATTTCCTTTGACCTAAAGCAGGAGCTTCACCTGCATCTCCCACTCTTACCAGTTCAGGCTGGGCCAGATTAGATGTGGGGGGTAAAGTGTAGATTCTCTAGATAGGAGCTGAGCCTCCAGTATCAGTGGGGTTCCCATGGGGGGCACTCTACAGGCATGTGGGAGGTGGGAGAGGGCTGTCTGCCACTCCGATTTGTATCTTAGAAGGTGCAAGTGAGAGGGTATAAGAATCTGGTGTCTAGCCTGCTGGGACTGTGCAGCCTTCACAACAGGGGAGACATTCTCCCAAGGGCAGGCTTGAAGATGGGTGCAGGAGAGTGGCACCCATGAGCTGGGGGAGGCGGCCAGGAGCACTCATGGAAATCAGAGGAGGTGGGAGTCCTGCCCAGGGGGTGGGGGCCTCTGAGCCTCCAGTATCAGTTCTCACACGTGTCTTGGTTCCAGATACCACAAAAATCATCATCTGTTTCAGGGCCAGTAAGGCGTGGAGACTGCCCAAGGGTGCCCCCAGGGAGCGTTGGGATCTGTGCTGAAATGTGCTCAACAGATGCATCGTGTCCTAGGGGAATGAAGTGCTGCAGCAATGGGTGTGGGCACACCTGCCAGCGTCCTGTCCCCCGCAGTGAGTATAAGCTCGTCAATGGCTGTGCCAGGGCAGGTGCAGGTGGCTCACAGGTCTGCCTGCTGCGCATGGAATCTGGACAACTCCGGAAGAAAGGGGCTGGAAGCGAACAGCAGGGCCTGGCCTCCTGCTTCTGGTGGGGGAACCCTGTCCCAGGATGGCCCAGACGTGCTCAACTGGGCCCAGTCACCACGGCCCTGGTCAATGGCAACCAAGGCTTTCTTTCCCTCTGTCCCCTCCACACCAAAGGAGAGGAACTCTTCCTGGCAAGTGGGTGATTTGGGGAGAAGGGGAAGTGTGGAGGGAACCCCACTTGAGGAGTACCTCCTGTATCAGACAAGCATGGTGCTGGAGTTAAGATGAAAAGATCAGTAAGCCCTGTGTCAACAGTCTCTACCCAGTGCACTACTAAGTTCTGTTGGAGCAGTGGAGGAGGGGATGGCTGTACCTGGGGGAGCGGATGAGTCATCAGGGAATGGAAACATTTTCAGGGGGGCTAAATGGACGCATGGAGTCTGCTGGGGGGAGCAAGGGTGGCCCAGATGATGGGAGAAGTGGGGTCCTCTGTTGGAGGTGGGCAGTGATGGTGGTGGGTGAGGGCGCAGGTGTTGAGGGTTGTGGTGGTAGGGGTCATGCAAACCGGAGTCCAAAGAGTGATGAGCCGCCTGCACTGAGTTTGGTCCACTGCTGGAAGCAGAGGAAATGTCACAATCAAATTTTTATTTTAGAAGGGTGACGCAGGATTTTTATTTTAGGCAGTGTGAAAGACGGACGGGACATCTATTAAATGAATCTGGAATCCAGCCCCATGAGATTCTCACAAATTCTTGGCATAAGAAAAAGGCTCTTCCACACCCACTCCTGGCTCTGAATGGAAGCCTTAGAAGATGAATATCCAAAGCAGTGCAGCGACTCCTTTGTGCTTATTTCCGAAATAAAGTCTGTGTGGCATGATTCAGCCCGTGTCATTCTTGCCCTGCTGCATTCTCGTGGATCCTGGTGTGTTGACAGGACCCAGTGTGAGCCTGTGAATACACCCTCAGTATGCCAGCCCAGGGCAAAGACCTCCCACCTCATCCTGCTCTTCCCCTCATGTCACTATCTCCAGACAGAGCAAAGAGTCCAGGAATGACTTCTCAAGTATTCTATGAATACAGTTTTGGTCAAGCCGAAATGATTAACACCCATGTTGCATGTAGCAGGCATTGGAACAGCCTTTATTTGGAGGAGACTTAGAAGCAGCAGGCACAGGAGCAGGCATGGGGTACCCTGTGCTAAGGCCACATGCCAGCATTTAGCAGGACCAGATGCCTAACTTTAGGGGAGCGACTTTGTCTCTTGGGACTTGGGGTTTTGAATGGCAGGATTGGGAAGCACAGATAGGGGGCATACCATTAAAACGTTCTCAGACACACTCACCTATTGCTGCCATTCTGAATGCCAACGTGCGACCTTCCTGGCAAAGATAGCTGAGAATGACATCCCCCAATTTCCTCTTGTGTTTCTGCCCTCCAGAGAGCTCTCAAGTCCTTAGAACTTCTTGTTTTTCACACCTGCAACCAACCCCCCTTTAGGTTTAAGGAGAAATTATTTCTCCCTATGGAAATTGACAAGGGCCAGAATTCTCTAGTGGCAGGTGGGGCTGGCCTGGTGGTGTCACTCTGTAGGGATGTGGGGATGGTTGAGAGCAATTGGCAGCAGTGCAAGTGGGTTCAAGGTGCCAGTGACAGGATTCTAGTGTTTCTGTGACCTAGATTTGGGTCTGCTCTGCTCCCTGCTTATGGCTTTCATGCTCTCCTGAGCCTGGCTCTCCAGTCTTTCTGTTGTTTGTGTGACTGTGTAGTAATGTCTTGCCACAACGCCTGCTCTCTCTGGTTTGTCAGAGTTGGTTCCTCTGGTTTGCCCCTCTGATGGTTTGTGTCAATATTTTGGGAATTTTGTGCTGGGGGGGAACTTAGCCAATAGACTCGGAAATACCAGGAGTCTGGATCCCGTGGCCTTATCTAGTTAGATACTAAAGACATACTGTACCAGCATGGAAACTGGCATGCAATGGCGAAACTATAGTAAATGATAGTTTCATAATTTCTTTTACTGTTCAATGTTGGTGCATAGAACACCAGTGGTTTTAGTGTCTCGATCACATGCCCAGCGACTTGATGGAATTTGGTCACAAGGTCTTAAAGATTGTTTTTTAATTCTTTGGGTTTTCTCTCTATAGGAGTGTGTCATCAGCAAACAGAGATAGTTTTACTTCTTCCTTGACAGTTTGTCCTTTTCTTTACCTGATTGCTCTAACTAGAACCTCCAGAATGTGAAATAGCCATGGTGAAAGCAAGAAGCCTTGGTGCTTTGTTTTTTCCTGCTCATGGAGGAAAGTTTCTAGTCTTTCACCATTGAGTATGGTGTCAGTTGTGGATTCCTCATAAATACCCTTTATGGTGTTGAGGAATTTCTCTCCTATTCTTAGTTTTCTGAGTATTTTTTTTTTAATCTTTAAGGCTGTTGGATTTTTGTCAAAAACTTTCCTGAATCAATTTAGATGCTTGTGTGTCTCCTCCTTCATTTTATTAAAGTGGTGTGTTACATTGATTTTCTCATGTTGAAACACCCTTATCTTTTTAGGAGAAATTTTAATAGATCATGGTACATAATCTCTTTAACATGTAATTGAGTATTTTGTTGAGTATATTTATAAGGGATATTGGTCTATAATTTTTTTTCCCTGTGGTAGGGAATACCACAAGGTATTTGATATCTGGTTTTGATATTAGGATATTAATCCTCATATTTGATACTAGGATAATGTTGTCTCATGAAATGGGTTCTATTTTTTGAAGAATTTAGGAATTACTATTGATTTCTAACTTTTTAAAACACAATGATTAGGCAACATAACCTGCATGAATTTGTTCCTTTGGGAAAGGTTTTCATTTATTTGTGGTCTAGCACTTTGTGTATGTGTGTGAGAATGTCTTCTATAGACTGAAAAATTATGTTCTCTGCTGTTTCATCTGAAGTCCCCTACTGTCAACTGCTTGAGTTTGTGAATCTTTGTAATTAGTCTTTATTTTACATTTCTGTCAATATTATCAGTTTCTGAAGGGAATATGATAACATTTTCAGTTAAAATTGTTTATTCATGTACTTCTTAGACTTCATCAGTTGTGCTTTGATTGTATATCAAATATACCTGATCAGTTATTTTCTTAATATATCACTCTCTTCTGACACTAAGGTTCTTACTTTTCATTTACATATTTGACATTAAAATCTATTTGCCAAATATCAAAATTGATAATTCAGTATTTTTTGGTTAATATTTGCCTAGAAAAATCTTCCATCTTTTTATTTTAAAACTTACTATTTTTTTTAAATTTATGTGTATCTTAGAGATAATATTGCTCGGTTAGTCTCACTGATATGCAGCCTGAGACATCTTCTGATCAATGTAGTTAGACCATTTATATTCATGATCCTCAATGTTAAGATTTATTTGATATTTCGTATTTACTATATTTTCTTATTTTTTTTGTTTCCTTTACCATTTCTCTTGTAGTTAACTTTTCATTTGCTATTTTGAAAGTTCTATTTCTATTTTTATTCTAGAATTTATCCCTGTGTATTTTTTTTTAATTTAATGGTATTCTTACCTGTTCCAGAACAAGGCAGTTAAAGTGCCTCTTCTCCGTCTGGACTTCCTTGCATGCCCTCAACCCCATTCTGCTTAGTAGAAAGTAGACACCATACAGAATGATAGTTTTGGATTGTATGCTTGTGCTTAACAAAACTGTTATTTAGTTAGATAAAAGATGAACATTACAGGCTATCTGCTTACCCTCACTCATCTATTCATATCTTCCTTCTGATTTCCCCCCACTTCCTTGCTAGAGTAGTTCCTTTAAGGTTGTTTCCAGAAAGATCTTTCCAAAGGGTATTTTTGGCCTTAGATTCTTGATGATATTTTGACTTTGTGTTCATATTTAAATGATAGTTCACCATATATAACATTCTAGGTTTAAATATTTTCTCTAACACTTTGAGACTATTTCTTCATTATCTTGTTGGAGAGAGTTGAACTGAGTTCTGAATTAACCCAGTTCTTTTAAAGCAAATCTTGTTTTTTTTCTCCAAGCACAAAATTGTCTATTTTTTAATTGTTATTTTTATCTATATGTGTCCATGGATTAAAAAAATTGTATGATGTTTATTTGTAAAATAAAAGATTATTTTAAAGTTTACACTTATTATTAGCTTCAACTTAGGTTCCAGTTGATACCAACAAAAAAAGATCTGCTAAACAAAGGAAGAGTCTTCTGTGAATGTGAAACAAAGGACAAGACAAGCTGATTCAGAGAGCTCCTGGCATAATTGTATCTTTTTACAATTATGAATACTAACGTTGATGGCACCAATGGAATAAAACCAGATGCCATGAATAATCCATTACTTTCCCAACAATATTGTGCTGTTACAAGCTGGTGGAATAATAAATACTCATAGTAAAAACAGAGGAAGAAAATTCAAATGCAAGCACAATATAGGAATCCATTTAACATCTCTACTGGATCAAGATCTAGGAGAATTATTGCAACTCTGCCAAAAGAAGGAAAAACTGACTACACTTGTGTTCTATCAGTGATGTATCAAAAGAAGACTTTATATAGATGACATATTGAAGATCAGTTCCTGACTAATAGACACAGATTTTCATATAACTACATGTGATCTTCAACCAGTCTCTGGGGTGCTAGGAAATGCAATGGGTGATGGTAATTGCTCATATTTGCAATTAGTATAAAATTATATGCACATTATGAAACAAAGAGCAGAAATAAAACAGCTAGAGTTATACAGTCAGGCCTCCTGATGGCCACCTGGTGTTAAATCTCAGTGCTATCACTTCTACTGCCTTAGTTTGGTTCCCGGCCAGGGAAATGAGCCACAGATGATACAGAAGACCTCTCCTGACCTGCCCGCTGCTCCCCACAGCAGTGTACTTTGTTGATCTACCTGTCCTGCTCCCCACTCTGTCTCTGGTGAATCCTCTCACCCTCCACACCTCTGGCCTATATGGCCTGTATTTATGTATGCATAAATAAATCTGTTTTTTTAAAAAAAGGAAGTATGTCTCACACAGTATAACAAGAAACAGATTCACCAACAAGACAGGTGGATCCATCCCCTCTGCCAACTCCACTGGTGACTGGACTGAGTTGTGCTTATTCCCTTGGGGCGACCCTGTCTCAAAGAGAGAGCCACCTGCCTGCTGGGTCTGATAGGCATCAGCCACCCTCCCTTGTGGGCAAGCTCACATGAATCTCATGGGGGAAACTTGCCAGGTATTCTGATGGGCCCAAGTCAGAGAAGGGGGCAGAAAAGCTAGGGGACATGGGCTTCAATATCCTTTACCTATTCCTCGTAGGACAGTATTTTACAGCCCTGTGAAGAGAGACAGCCTCCTCCCTGACAAGACCATGGTGTGACCAAGGGGAATGACACCATCGTGGCACGTGGGTGGACTCAGGTGGCCTGGGGATACCTGCAGGCAGCACCTGGCAGCAGGCAGCAGCATGGCCATGAGAACACTGACCACCGAGGCAGGGATGGGCCTTCAGGGACGCAGCAAGGAGCAACCGCACGACAAGGCCATGGGAGGAGAGTGCAAGAGGCTGCCTGCCTGTGAGTATCTGGGGACACGTCAGAGACGTGTGGGCAAGGGAAACAGGGTGGGATAGATGCAGGTGAGATGGGAGCAGCTAGGCCGCCAAAGGTGGGGCAAAGTGACTATGACCTCTGCTCTTCGGGATGGTTAAGCCTTGGGCCACACATTAGGGGAGGAGAGGCCTTTTGGATACGTGTTGTTGGTCACAGTGGGAACTGGATGACACATGGATGGAACCCAGATGTCCCTTGCCTACTTTTCTTTTTTAATTATTAAAAATATTTATGTA